ATATAAAACAACTTTTTTTTTCAAAATGAATAAAAAATTTATTTTAAACATCGATGACTTTTTGTCACTATGTTCAAAAATTGCCCTCTGAGAACAACAAACTCGCCATCTTGTATTCATTATCGATGCGGGTCAAAGTTGAAAACTATAATGATTGTTCATTTTTAGCTTTTTAGTTTTTCTCATATTGTTTGAAAAATAGAATGTCGTATAATTTCGTATTTTAAAAGCTTTTATGTAGTAAACTATCTTTTTAAACTACATGTATAGTAAATCAAGTATTTTACTATGGACTTCAGATTGTTACAGTTTAAATATGTGTTACAGTTTTAAGAACTTTTAAATGAAATAAGATTTTTAATTAATTTTTGTGTGTAATGCTATTAAACTATATAATTCGTGATATTATACAGAAAATATTAACTTCAAATATGTGTCCGAGTACCTTTAAACTATTAAATTCGATGTCAAACGCCAAGGTCGTAAATTCATACATTTTATGTGTGTGTGTGAGGGTGTGTGTGTGTGTGTGTGTAAAACTTTCATTTCCGGGCGATATCTCAAGAACCTTTTGAGTTTTTTGCAATTAAATTTTACACCGTAACTTCCTCTGCCCCACTCCCCCACTGCCTTTCTGTCCGCCCCATCGTTCGTGCCTTTACATGTAACACTTTCATTTCCAAGCGATATCTTGAGAATTCTACATTACAACTTCTTATGGCCTAAAGAAAACGTCTATTGGTTTTGAAGTCAAAAGGCTCGGTAGAGGCTAATTATATAAACTAGACACACTTTTTTTTTAATTTTCACAATATAACGTGATGTAAACATGTATACCTAATTCATCGCCATGTCAAGTTCGTCGATGACCGAGGGGAAAGATTCTCGCTTTGCATGCGAAAGGCACCCGACTGAGCCCTTTTTTATGGCAAAGCCCTTTTCCTATTTATTCGTGAAATAAAAATTTTCTTTCAATAAGAGAGATATCTCTTTTATTTAGCTTATACAGATATCTCTTTGACTAATAGAGATATCTTTATGTTTTAGAGAGATATCTCTTTAAACAATAGATATCTTTTTTTGTAAGAGAGATATCTCTTTTATTTAGAGAGATATCTTTGTAATCCAGAAAGATATCTCTTTAACGATGTTCGATCCTGATATTTAAAGTCTTAAACTTTTTTTGCCAATTATATTTTTAGTTTCTACATACATAGCTTAATTAAAATTCAAATCGAAAAATGGGGGTCAATACGCTTCCTTTGGCGCTACAGTACATTTAATATGACCTTTTTGCACTGAAATTTGTGTCTTAATTAAAAATTAAATTTTTGACGTTTTCCCTCCAATATTTCTATCCAATTAAAGCATGAAACAAAATGAACTCTAAGTTTGTTTTTAAAATGACACTTAAAAATCGTGACTAAGATAAAGTTTCAAATTGCTTCGCATAATCAATTATTTGAACTTTCTGCACTAATAAAAAGTGAATTTTCTGGCATTGAAAATTTAATAAGCAAGAAAACTATTTTAAAGTCTTAAACTTTTTCTGATTTTAAGTAAATAAGTCAAATTTATCTTGAATATATAGAAAAGGACATCAAAAGTGGGGGTATATGATGTAAATTTTTAGATATTACTAAAAAAGTGTCAATTGTAAGTTAAAATTGGCTCAATTTTTTCCAGAATTTTCAGAATATACATGTATTTACTATATTTGTCACACTTTGTTGATAGAATTCATAACAAATAATTTAATAGATTTTTCAGAACCAGCATAACACATTTCACTGCAAAAAACAGCTTTGTGTGCAACCAGGATGGAAAAATAGGAATCCAAAATTAACAGTACTGTTTTAATTCAAAATAGAAAAACTGATCATTTTCGTCTAAAAAACCTTCCGCCACAAAATATAGTCCCTAGCTTAATTCTACTTGAATGGAATTTAATCGCGGTTTTTTCATTGAATATAGTTAAATTTGCACTGTAGAATTCAAATTTAATGATAGAATTTAAAAATGATGTAGAATTTTATAAATAAATGACCTGACCAAAATACGCTCAAAATATTAGGATCGAACGTCCTTAAGCGAGAGAGATTTATCTTAAAGTAAGAGAGATATTTCTTTAACAATGTTAAAGAGATATCTTTCTTAGAGAGATATCTCTTTAGATTTTCAAGAAGAGATATCTTTCTAAGCTAGAGAGATATCTCTTTTACTTTTGGAGATATATTTCCAAGTTAAAGAGATATCTCTTAAAGTAAAAGAGATATCTCTCTTAGTTTATCTAAAGAGATATCTCTCAAAGTGAAAGAGGTATCTTTCAAAAGTGTTTAAAAGAGATATCTCTCAAGCAAAAATTATTTCATTTTAAGGATGACTGGAAAAGAGATATCTCTTTCATTAAAAAGATATCTCTTTTCCAGTCATCCTTAAAATAAAATAATTAATTCTCCCTTTAAAACGAAAGCGAAATAGGAAGCTATGTATCTGAAATAATTTCGCTGTCATTAGAAAAAGACAGAGCATGCAATACCCATAATAATATAATTATGTACCATGTATACAAAAATGATATAAATCTCTTGTTTGAAACAACAAATAATAATGGCAACTTCGTTGATAAAAATGCTTAAACCTTAAAAGTTTAATAATCAGGAAAACAAGAGTAAACATAAAATCTCAAATGCAATGGACCGAATTTTCCCAGCTTATGAAAAAATCAGCTATAATTACTAATTTGAAACCTAGACAACACTGAGTTACTTTATGATAGAAATATCATTAAACGTTGCAGTGCAAAGCTCAATGTCATTAATCATTGCATTAATAGTTGACATGCTCATGCACTGAATGACAAAAATCTTTCATTAAGCGGCGATTTAGCATTTGGGGTTGAAAAGGTCAACCATTAGTGCATTGATTGCACTAATAATTGTTATTCGCAGATTTTATAGTCAGCAACTGTAGAGCGCGCTTATTTCGATACTACATTGTAACTGAAAAATTGATTCGAAACCAGGAAAACAAAGGCGAGGTTGTCGTAATTGGCATCTCTGGGCCACAGGTGTTTGTGGACATGACCTTCCTTTTGCGATGCACTACACTTCTATGATTTTTTTAACAATTATAATTTTGATATATTTTTTGTATTTTTCATCTCTTTCTATCCTTCATCTACACGTTCCTGATTTTAAAAATCACCTTGAAATTTGGCACATTGCCTTTCTATACATATTATTTATAGGGTAATGAATATTCATAGAATTTGCACGTACCTCGGATTTCAAGGTAATTCTTAATTGTATCATCTGTCCTATTGTCTTAATAGTAAGATAATTCATATTTTTAGAATATAATAAAACGGAGTACTAGTTTCATGAAATTTTCATGTCGAGTGAATGAAATCCCCCCCCCCATTCACTCCCTCTCCCAGCAACTACATCACATACACACCGACTTTATTTTTTTCTTTTCTGAATCTACCGTAAAACGTTTCTTTAAAAACTATGTTGACACCCCCTGCCTTCTCCATAACTGCAGTACTGAATAGAATGACTTGGAATGAAAAAAAACCTCTATAATTGATTGGTCTAATAACCAACCAATTGACACCCCATTCAGAAAGATCCCGCAAAGGCGGCAGTGTGACACCAGAGGCGATCTAGTGAACACCAAATCATCAGTAGTGTAAACCAAATACTTGTAAATAAATACATATATCAAATCCCTTATGGCCAGAAACATACACGCCAAATTTAAAAAGAATTAGATATATTTAATTTTGTAAAATGTTCACTATCGATATAAGTTTTCTAATTTACTTTTTTTATTCAAGGCCATATCATAAGAATAAATTACAGTAAAATAAAATTTGCAACCTATACGTGAATAATCATGAAGGTCTATGTCATGTACAGTCATTTTAATTACCAATAAACGTTGCATTTTAAACTGAAAATCTGACATACACATACAATGTTTAAGTAGGAATGGGAATCAATTGCACTTGGCACTTGTAGTGGTTCAATAGCTCTATGCTTAGTGTAAACGTTTTGTATGCGTTGACGGCTGTAAATTTCTTTGGTGTATTTCTTGATTATAAATTAACAAATATGTTTATTTGAGAGATAAATTTTTCAAGAATGTTCAAAATCATAATTAAAAATAATTGGTTGTGATTTAGTTTGAATCTAACTAGGCAGTACCGTAAATTTTGGCGATAATAGTAATGCCAGACTTAAAACACTTTTACTTTTTAAAAATGTGTCCGTATATAAGGTTTTCTACGATTACATAGCGAAATGTTGTAAAGCAGAAAAATTAAAAAAAAAAAAAAAAAAGAAAGAAAGAGAGGGTATAAAAGAGTGAGAAAGTGGTGTGAAAGAAATATGATGGGAGAGGGCGACATCGGATAGGGAAAAACGAAAGGGAAATTTACCCCTTTCTGTTTATCTGCCCTATTCGTATGCCTCCTTGACTCCGTACTCTTGGATGGAGTGGGGAGAAGATAACTCTCTCATACTCTGCTCTCGTGAATGGGGCGAGAGAGAGAGAGAGAGAGAGTGTGTGTGTGTGTGTGTGGAGAGAGAGAGAGAGTGTGTGTGTGTGGAGAGAGAGAGAGTGTGTGTGTGTGGAGAGAGAGAGTGGGGAGAGTGAGACTGTGGGGGGAGAGAGAGAGGTGAGTGGAGAGAGAGAGAGAGAGAGAGAGAGAGAGAGAGAGAGAGAGAGAGAGAGAGAGTGGAGAGAAAGAGAGAGTGAGTGGAAAGAAAGTGGGGAGAGAGAAAGTGTGTGGAGAGAGAGTGAGTGGAGAAAGAGAGAGAATGGGGAGAGAGTGTGTAGAGAGAGAGGGAGAGAGTGTGTAGAGAGAGGGAGAGAGTGTGTGTGGGGAGAGAAAGTGTGGAGAGAGAGAGAGTGTGAGGGGTGGGGGAGAGAGAGTTGGTAAGGGTGAGAGAGGGGAGAGAATGGGGTGAGAGAGATGAGAGAAATTAAGAAAGATGGAGACAGAGAAAATGGTAAAATTAATAAATTTTAATGTAAAACCGAATAAGTTAAAAAAAACAAATAAGTACTGATCAATCTCTGGAATATGTGTGGGTAAGGGTTGAACTGGAAACCCCAAACACAAAAACAGTTCATCATACACACTTAGGCTATACACACAATAAAGGACATACACCACATAGTTTGAACTTAACGAGATGGAGTCTAATTCGAGTGCGCATGACTTTGCACAGCTTTTTAATTTCATGCAGTCATATGTGCGACAGTATACCTTTCCCAAATATTGTAATTTTAATACAATATTACCATTATCTGAAATACCTACTGATTATGGGCCTCTTGTTTACCCAAATAATTCATTTGCGGCAATATTTCATCTGCATCGATATACTATATTTATACCGCAATATGGCATTGGACACTGAAAAAAATAACTTTGTCATTAAGTCCTAGACCAATTAAGATGATGAACTTTTTTTGAAATTTCGCTATTTTGTGACTTTTTACAATAACTTTCATTTACTTGGCTAAAAAAGAAATCTCTAGGGCAGAAATACAAAAAATATGGAAAAAAATGTGATAATTTGGCAATTTTCCAGCAAATTCCGATAGGGTCCAGTGGTAAAATTTGGACACTTTTGAGGTGTCCCCTTAGAAAACGGGCTGTAAACCTCGTTAATTGTCTTTTCCCCTGGATTTGAAGAACTCGAAAACTTCAGTAAAGCCTGGAACTGTGTGCTACATGTTAATGTTTATTTATCCTGTTGTACACATATTCCAAAAGAAGTTTGGATTTTTGTTTATTTTACTTTGAATTATACGGGAATTTTCTTGATTGATATCCCCCCTCCACTTGAAGTGGGGAATATTAATTTCGGTCTGTCTTTCTGTCCGTCTAGCTGTTTGTCCGTCCGTCTGTAGTTACACGTTATTCTGTCTGTGCGCATCGCCGCAAACCGAATCAACTATCGTAACAATGGTCTGTGCGTAATGACATTGCTCACAGTGTTGGTACTATAAAATCTGACTCTTTATAAAAAGGATTGCATTTATTTACAGTAGAACACTTTGGCACATACATTTGGCTTCATACAACATTGAAATCAACTCACATTACCTTGGAAAATCTAATGATACACCTGAGTAACCTTGTGACCTAGATTCAAACCTATTGTGATACTTGTTAGACTAAATTATATACCCTATTGAGCTATTCAGCAAGCTATTGAAAACTTTACCGCTATTTCGTAATTCGCTGTAAGGTTTAGTAGAGGGTAAACTGGACGAACTTGTTTATTTTTCTAAAATTTTGACAAGGAAGAACGTGATGTAAACATAATTATGTATGTGACCTATTGTTTGGATTTAATTAGATAAGTTTGTCGATGGCCTCCATCATAAACGTAATTACTTTAATTTACTTTTCTACCGTCGACTTCCATTACTTAATATGCAACAATATATCTTCATGACATACATACGGGATTTATATCTCTCAGATGATTCGATACGCAAGAGCATGCTCTACGTATGAACAATTTCTAAAACGAGATAAACTATTGACAAACAAGTTGATGAAACAAAAATATCAGCAGTCTCGTTTAAAGTTATAATTTCGTAGGTTCTTTGGTCGATACAATGACCTTGTCAGCAATACAATTTACCATTGAATCAAATGTTAACTAACGCTTTTCATACTAATTTTTAGACCATTATTTACACACACTGAATTGTCGACGGACTTTTTCGTTATTTTGACAAGGAGCACACGGTGGGTGTGACCGATTGGCAGGGGATGCTCACTCCTCCATGGTACCTGATCCCACCTCTGATGTTTTGGAGGGAGGTCCGTGTTTGCTCTGCTCCTACATGTACTTTGTATTGTTTTATGGACTTTTGAGCTTGAATACTGTAACGGTTTCGTTATCGTCATATATTTTATTCTTACAAAGCATGTATGTAAGGAATGTCTTATTTTTCGATTTCATGATGTGATCAATCGATTAGATTGCGTGATAATTTGCATAAACGCCGAAGGCATTAGATTTTTTGAAATTGGAGAGAAATTTTATTTTACTTACCTGAAAAAAGTTGAAAAAAAAGGAAAAGTTGCCCAAAGTCGAAAATCCTATTTCGTGGGGGTGGGGGGGGGGGGGGTTATAAAAAGAAAAAAAAAGTAAAGTACTTTTTCTCAGTATCAACTACTTTCAGTACCACGCATTTTCGGTACATTAAAAAGGCATTCACCTTGACGGACGCTTCTAAAACATCATATAGCATCGAGCCCGATATAAGAAAGAAAAACAAAGGAATATAGCTGCATGCACTTTAAAAAAAAAGGTTATGAGTGAATGGTCATTGCAATAACGGTAAAGTATTGATAACACTATAAGTTGTGAATATATTTATATATCGAAAGACTATAACGTATATATAGTAAATGTATGTTTTCCTTATAAATTTATCGGTAAATTTGTATACATATTCCTTACTGAGAGCATCGTGGCAACGAACCCGACGTACAATTTGTACTTTGTAACTAACTTGGTTACAATAAAAGAGAAAACTTAAGAATAAGGTATTGTTCAAATGCAATTAAAGCTGTAAAGTTTTGTGCTTTATCAGATACATTTCATTTTTTTTTCTAAAAACATTCTTTTGTATCAAGAACACGGCCTATTCATAAGGGGGTGGGGGGGGGGGGTACTTGGTACTTTCACAGGTACTTGGTTTTGGTTAATGAATGTGTACATGTATGTACCTTATTGGTATGTAAAAAAAAAAGTAAGTACAAATTTTACATATAGATAAGGTATACATAATTATAAACCAAGACCCAAGTACCTGCGAATTTTACCCCTCCCAACCCCTAAAAAATTTCAATTTATCGGTATATTGAGCATGCTTTTATCCTTCACGGAAATGAAATAAGAACACCCGAAGTACAATATCCATAACATTGTATAACAGGTTTCACATAAACGTCAATTCAAGAAATTTTTATTTTTTCAAGTTTTCATAAAAAGTCCGTAGGGGTGGTGACGTACATCTACTTTATGCAGGCTTTTGAAACAAAGCATTTCTTAATTCTATAAGCCTGTAGTCTGTCAGTAAAAACTACAATTTACAACTACAATTTATTTCTGTTTGGAAATGGTACTATACATAAATTCAATTTACCGCGCTTGCGCTGGATTTCAGAACGAAGCAATTTACAATTTATTCAAACATTATTTTGTAGAAATGTTAAGAAGTCTTTGGTCTCCATTTCAGCATGCACCCCTTGTGTCAATCTTAACGGAACTGGTGCCTTGTAGGTTACTTATTATAACCGGAAATGTACTGATCAGTGTGGGCTTTTTCTGCGCAGCTTTTATCTCATCAGTTCCGGTTCTTATTCTGTGTCTGGGGGTTCTTCCAGGTAGGTGAAAATAAAAGTTTCGTTTATAAGTGAACTTGATGAAAAAGAAATCATTGGAATGTGAACTGTGCCTTATATAATCATTTTTATTCATACAAGATGTTAAAATGAATAATAATTCAGTAATAAAACAGTGAAATCTTTATATCCTATTTCGTTCTGAACAAGTTCTACAGTAACTGTTCGTGAATGCGAAGAGTGCATAATTATATAAATAAACTCGCTTTTCAGGTTTATTTTTATATTTCTCTGTATATTTAATAATAATATGTTACCAAACTAATTGTATTTTGCAGGTATTGGGATGAATTAAGTAATGTTTTCCTAAACAATAATCCTGAAGGGATATTTTGTGCAAAAAATGTCCCTTGCTTGGGGATTTTGCCTGGCTGGTGCTGGCGTGGGCATGATAAGTTTCCCGCCATTTTATGTTTACTTACACACAACCTTTGGATTAAAGGGATCCTTCCTCATATGTTCAGGCATTTGCTTCAATTGTATTGTGTTTTCTTGCTTATCCAAACCAAGTAAATTTCATTCTCGAAGTAAGTACCTAATTATAATTTATTCTTATAAAATAATTTGATATTTCAACTTTTGACTTAAAAGGGATACAGATCCGGTTTTATTCAGTCCAAATTTATTCTCCGTATTGAAGAAAGACGTGCTAACCTTTACAAAGCATACTTTTCTTATTCATACTGTCCTGTAAAGTCAAAGTGGAACACAAAAGCTTTTTTTTAAAACTGTATATATACCGTATAGCGGGTTTTCTTGGCGTGGCGTTTTGCCTGCTGAAAGGTATGCCAGTAATGTTGGCGTAATTAATTTAAGCGGACGCAGGGCTTCAGCTCTTTGCAGGTGGACACTAAGAAGAGTACTGATTAAAATTTAAGCGGAGTATTAGCAAAACGCCAAAATAAGCCAAAATTAGCACCCCGCTAAAATAACCCGCTCTGCAGTATCTTGCTAATAAAATTATTATTATTATTACATGTACATGTGACTGTCTCGGGCTTGCGACTATTTCAGTTCTCTTGATATTTGGAGACAATATTCCATTAGTGACTTGTTCATAGAAAAATACGAAAAATGAATAAACCAACAAATTGACAAAATTATTGATCTTTGGAATGAAACTTCTGGGGTTAGAGTGACCAAAGAAATCCACAAACATTAATCCCCGTTTACAAAGATTATTCCCAATTATGTTTGAGTATGTGGATATTGGTAAAATTATCGCACATTCTTTTATAGAAAAGCGATCGGAAAAGGGATTCTTAAGGACAGAACTCTTTGACTTTAGCCTTTTTAAATCACATAACTTTGTTTTGTTTGTGACGGCTCATCTTTTCTTCAACACTGGGTACGCTGTCCCTTTCACTTACCTGCCAATCAAAGGAGAGGAGGAGGGCTTTTCCGAACAGTCGTCTGCTCTCTTTATTACGTCACTTGGAGCTGGGAGTTCAATAGCAAGAATAGCCTTCCGATGGTTTTCATCGAAATTTCCTGCACTCCGGACAAGGACATATCTTTTTGTTGTGTTCACTGCGACTCTGTCGTTGCTTCCCGTGGCATTTTCACGTTCCTACCCATTAATCATAGTTTGTTCAGCGGCGTTTGGCGCATGTTCAGGTAAAATGAAATGCATTAATCAGGCCTATATAATTATTTCAAGCATTTATTTTCTTAATTTAAGAGCACATTAATTTTGAATATCAAGTAATCAAGAGAGACTGTCATGGCAGCAGAAAAGGCAACTAGAAAACATGGCATATTCTCAGCGCAAAAAATCTGTTCAGTCACTTTCTCACCCAGTCGCCACCTCTGTTTTTTCTCCAATTGCCCCCTCGTTGGCTTTCTGTTAAAAATTGAAAGAATCTGGTCCCATCGATATAGAAAGTACAACATCGATAGCTTTAATTATGTTTTAAGAAGTTCGAAATCATATACCGGTACATAGTACCTATTTCATTTCGTAAACATTTTTGATCGTATTTCGGCTGACTTGTTTCAAACCTATTGTCATTATTATTTTAATTTCTTCATTATTTTTACTACGGAATATTTACCTTCCTGACCACAAGTAGACCTCACGGCGGGTGTTACCGCTGCACGTACAATGGATGCTTACTCCCTCAAGACACCTGATCCCACATCCTCAATTTTCCCTCGCCCTGTTTAAGTCTCCTTCACAGATTTGCATCGTTTAAAGATTTTTTTTTTTGATTGATCAATCTGTGATTTCTTCACCCTTTTCATCTTTTCAGGAATCGTCGCCCGCGTGGTTAGAGCGTCTGCTCTAGAGTAAGTAAGGAGTCAATCCTTACGTCGCGAGTTCGAATCCCATTGTGGGACGTGGATACCGGTCCTTCGGATGAGATCGTATAAACCGAGGCCCCATGTCGCAGTAGGTGCTGGCTCGAAAATATCCCTCACTGCTCAAAGGCCCTGAGTGCCGAGCATAGGTCAAAATTTGTAGCCCTCCACCGGCAAGTGGTGGCGTCTCCATATGAGTGAAAAATTCTCGAAAGGGACGTTAAACACCATACACTCAATCTTTTCAGGAATCACCCACACGGAGATCCCTTCAGTTCTTCTTTGGATGTTAGGAGTTGACAGATTTCCCAGCAGTTTATCTATAGCAGCTATGCAACAAGGAATCGGGTCCCTTATAGGAATACCGCTTGCAGGTAAAACAATTTAAAAAAAACTTTTTAAAAATACATTTTATTCTTTTTGTTCAAATATAAACTTTACTTGGCCTGGGGGTCATAAAACTTTAGAGGAACTCACTTTTGATTTTAGTCTCACATTTGGAAAAAGTGAGACTGGGATCAAAAGTTTTATGGCCCCCAGGCCTGTTTACCTGTCAATTATATAAAATCCTCATTACAAATACAGTTTATCATCATCATCACAAGTAAGGTGATCACTTATACGACCTTCTATCAGTTTCTTTCCGTCGTGTAGTTTTCTATTTTGAACATAAATTAATCAGCCTTTTCCTTTAAGGTCTTTCCACCCTCACAATTTTAATGGTTTAAAGTACAAAAATTGAATTTATTTTCATTTAATAAAGTTTAAATTTACCAATTATTGCCAGAAATGTATAGGTCGCCATGTTATTTAAGATGGGAGACGTAAATAAACAGAAGCATATGTCAGCATAAAAAATGTACATTTTTTGTAATCAGTATCATAAATATTATGTATAAAATTATTCAAATGCATAATTTTGATGCTGAAAGTTCCTTAATACTTGCTACTTATCAGATACTTTTGAATTGTGAATATCAGGGAAACTATTTTGCATTAAAAGTACAATAAAGAAAATGCCCGAATGAAGCTACCTGAGCAGGAATTATTGCACTTGTCAACATTTTTTTTAAAGATTGAATAATTCATTAAATAAAGAAAATATGCATTTTTTAAATTCTTTTACTTGACAATTTTTATCATTACACCTATGGAAAATCATTCTTTTAAAATATATTATTCTATTAGGTATGAATTTGATTTAATAACAGTTTTTTTTCAAAAACCTATCATGGTTTTCTAAAAACCTATCATAGGAGGATGGAATTACCTTAAATGGATAATTTATAATCTTATGTTCCTCGTAAAGTAAGTGTTATTAGTAACCATTTTGCATGATTTATTCTCAAATATCTTATGCCTAGAAACATGTACCTCTTTATTCAAAATACATTTTTAAATTAAAATTTATATATCCCTATGTTCTATGTTGGAACTAAACTGGTCATACATTGAAAATGTGTTCATTTTTTCTTAAATTTTTCTGCAGGCTTCAACACTTGGGCGTGTCTCAAGTTTTATTATAGACTTATTCAGTATCTAGCAAACTGATTTGCAGGATTTCAATTAGTGATTATAAAATTATTTTCCATAATTGTGCTCTTTAATCCATCAAGACAAGCTTGCAGACCCCTTGCAATTTGAAGGATAAGTTTATCAAATATAAAAATATATATAGATGATTGTTTCTTCAAAAATGCTCTTTTTGTTGGTGGTGATGGTTGTTGTTGATGGTGATTCCTGAATGGGACAATATATCTTCCGCATTTTTTATTTCAGAAGTGATATGTCGAAATGCTGGGGACAACAGTGTTGCCTTTTTCTTAACCTCTGGTATGTATGCGATGGCTGTTATCCTTATGGTTTTGTCCTTCTACTTGCCTGATAAAGCTTTAACAAAGAATCAAGAACAAAAGCTAAAGTCCAAACTCGCGGTATCCATTCCGGAAGTATATGTTGTCCATTCAATGGATTAGGAAATCAACAGACCAACGGCAGCTTGATGTCATGGATATCCGTGCATTTGTTTAATTATTTACTATTACATTATGCACTGTATAAATATTATTTATACAGGGAAATGACGACAAGATGTTTGTTTTAACCTTTATTTTGGCGAACATTGGCCGTGGCATAGTATTTTGTGGGATGCCAGTTAATACACACAACTTTTGGGCAAACCCACACAAAATCAACAAATTTCATCACACAAAATCAACAAATTTCATCAACACAAACAATTCATATGTTCAACAATGACCACCCCGGGTAAACCGCGGGTGGTTACTTATTTAAAGTATTTATTTAAGGTACTTATTTAAGTCAAATTAGTTATATGCACAATTCAAGCACAAAACAAATCATATCAACATATCAGCAAATATTTTGCACATAAAATGGTTCAACAGTTCAAACCCCTTCACAGTTCAATGTTGAAAACTTCACAACAAAACAAAGTTTATGTAGGCCTCAGTTGCTTTGGTGTGCGCAAACGCCATTCCTGTACAGGTTATGCCACGACATTTCATGAAGACGACTTCCACTGCAACGGATTCTGTAAAATACAAAGGAAAAGCCAGCAACAAGAACCAAGCATACAATCATTTAAACTCGAAATTATGGGAATGGGTGGGTGGGATATTTAAGACCGATGCAAAAAATTTCTTACAAATATTATGAAAAAACTTGACAAAGAAATATTCAACCTACTCTGTATCCAGCAAGTTGATGAAAAGAATGTTGATCCCGAGCTTTCCGACTTATATATACCCAAGGCCGCAGGCCGATCCCGACCAAAAATTAATACCTTTCCCGTAAAATAAAGTCATCTGATTTTATATGCATAAAATAGATGATATTATTTATACAGGGAAATGACGACAAGATGTTTGTTTTAACCTTTATTTTGGCGAACATTGGCCGTGGCATATATTTTGTGGGATGCCAGTTAATACACACAACTTTTGGGCAAACCCACACAAAATCAACAAATTTCATCACACAAAATCAACAAATTTCATCAACACAAACAATTCATATGTTCAACAATGACCACCCCGGGTAAACCGCGGGTTTACTTATTTAAAGTATTTATTTAAGGTACTTATTTAAGTCAAATTAGTTATATGCACAATTCAAGCACAAAACAAATCATATCAACATATCAGCAAATATTTTGCACATAAAATGGTTCAACAGTTCAAACCCCTTCACAGTTCAATGTTGAAAACTTCACAACAAAACAAAGTTTATGTAGGCCTCAGTTGCTTTGGTGTGCGCAAACGCCACATGACAGCGAACAACCAAAGGAGAGTTCGCAGTCATCCCACACATGGGGGAGCACCCAAGCAACTGACAAGAGCCCCCACGGACCAATGTTCTTTATGTTTTGTTCAAGGATACACATTGCCTTGTTTTAAATTCTAGCCCCTCCCTTTGACATTATTAAGAAAGAGTTTATTTTCTAGGTCATTGAGCTGTACACCATCTGGCAACAGATATTGTGACATGTTTTTCAATAAAATAGGGTACTTTATGTAACAGCACCCAACTCTAAAACTAATAGAGCAGGTACCCTAATGGCATTAAGACAGGATTGATCCATTACTTTATTGTCCCCGAGTACCTCCATTTATTACGTGGCAGGTTCTGTGAGCTAACAAGTGTTAAATGTGGAAAGTGAGCCTTAATATCTTTAAATCAGATTTAATTTTTTTAATGAGAGTATACAGATGAATTGACCCTACATGCATATTGTTTGCACCACAGTGGATAACCAAAAATCAGGGGATTCCTCGTATTCTGTCGGAAAACTAAAAGCTTTCTTTTAAGTCCCAAAAATCATTGCATTCCTAATAAAAGAGGACCTCACACACCAGACTTTAACTTCAGGGACCTAATAATATCCAATAATTTGCATATATCTTTAATTTCCAAATTACAACTTATTTGCCCCCATCATCTGCCCAATAGGACATCTTATTATGAACTGTATGCCCTAGACTTCCAATGCCCTGCTTCCATTATGATATCTTGTGAGCAACCAAAGAGAAATGATACCTGGTAAGGGGATTTTTTTTTTTTTAATAGTGGATAAATAATGGCCTGTTAATTTTTGGTCTTACTGCAAGATAATCTATCAAACTTGCTACTGGACACAGGATTCCCTTACTTTTATCAATGCCTAAAGAAACCCCCTTTCTATCCTGATCACATTTTGACATTCTTATGTGTACAAAAAACCTTGGAATAGTTTAATAGCTTGACATTGAACAACAGTCACTTGTAAAATTGTATGAACACTATTACCAGTAGACAATGTGAATTCCCCTTTTTTGAGAAACCAAAGAAGGCTAATAGATAAGCAGCTCTCCCCTTTTCGGAGAAAACCAAATAGGGCTAATAAATAATCAGCTCTGAACAATTTTGTTTCACAACTATCACTACAAATTCTCGGCAAAACCCTAACAACTTTAGTGAGCAACTGCAAGGTTATAGGTAGCCTTGAATCTGCAGACCTACCAGTTCTTCTCATACCCTCAAAAACATTTACAGCCAGAAAGTTCTTCATTTCATGAACCAAATTATGGATTTTGCATTGAAAACAAATAGAAGATAGATAAGATTTAGCTGTAGCATAGGAACACTTCTTAGATGACAGCTCCGGGAGATAAGCAACAAAGTGAACAACCTCCCTAAGAGGTGAGGGCCATGAAATTTCGTACCCAAATTATTTCCGGAAATTATAAAATGAATTTTTCCTGTTTCGTATACTGTCTTAATGTTGTAAGAGATTGAAGCATCTAGCAATCCATTCATTTGAATCTGTAAATCATGTTGACTAATTCTGCTGGAAGAGGGTCTGGTCTGGTGCTTGCCTCTGGTGCCAAAGCTTGAATCGGAACCACAGTTTGCGAGAAATAGAATATGCAACATTTTTTTTTTTTTTTAAAGCTTCCAATGTGATTTGCCCTAAATATAACATTGTTGATCATCAGTCTAAGAACCAAATGTCTTACCAATTTCATAACTCGTTTGGACTTGGAAGATTGGGTATTGATGAAACTAACATTGAAAGGTTATCAACATGAAACTGAACTTTTTTTTTTATGTAGCAACCTAGTCCCCACATCTCTTTTGCTAAAACTACTGGTATGAGCTCAAGAAAAGTCCTGTCTCTCAAAATGTTTAGATTGTTCCAGTGTTTTGGCCATTGGAGAAAAAAAAAAAAAAAAAAAAAAAAAAAAAAAAAAAAACCAACTTCCACTAAAGTAACCCCCACAACCTAAATGACCTGAACCTGCATTATCTGTAAATAACTGTTAAATGCTAGAATCTTCCCGTACAGTATTAGGAAAATATGCTACCCAATTGAAATGATTCAAGAACACCAGCCACATTCTAAGGTCACTTTTAATTCCAACTGATAATCTTATGATGATGTGGCTTGAAAACTCCACTAAATGCATCATACATTCTTCGAATAAAAGCTCTACTAGATCTGATTGCCTTTGAGAAAAAATTGAGCATTGCAACTAAAGACTGCATTTTGTAGTGTAACTTTTTCCCTATCTAAAAATTTTCAATCAGACTCTTTAGGATTCCTAACTTTGCTTCTGAGATCTTATTTGTCATCTCCAGTGTATCAACTTTGAAACCTAGAAATATTAATTTTGTCATTGGACCAGAAGTTTTCTCATGGGCTAGTGGTACCCCTATATCCCCAGCTAAGTTACTAAAAGTAGACATTACAATTTCACATTCATCACTACCAGACCTACCTGCAAAAAGGAAATCATCTAAATAATGATCTAATGTATTCAATTTGGACTTGAACTGAGTAAGCCAGTGTAGAAAAGTTGCAAATGTTTACAAATTCTGCAACTAATTGAACAACCCATGGGAAGTCATTTATCTATGCAATATAATCCATCTACAGAGAAACCTAACAAGTCAAAATCCCCTGGATTGATTGGAACTAAACGAAAAGCACTTTTAATATCCATCTTACCTATCAATGCTCCCCTTCCCAAATTTGCGATCATATTGACTACACCATCAAAAGATGCATACTTCACTGTACATAAATCTGGGTATATAAAGTTGCTGGGTAATCATTTGCCGCCCTCCATCGGATTTAGGGACAATGCCAACTGGTGAAATGTGGAGGTTAGAAATTGGAAGTTGATCGAAAGGACCCATGATTCACCCAAGCTTTATTTCCTTATTTATCTTATCCATCAACTCATCACGGTGTTCAATTGCAGACTTAAGATTTTTTGAAAACACGTGACACCTCAGGCCTGTGTAATTTTTTTTTTTTAAAACCCTTTGAAAACCCATATTTTATATAATTAGCAGCATATTTGTCTGGATATGGTTGCAAGTATTCATTTAACTTTTCCACATAAATAGGGGAATTTCCTAGGGCCCATATACCTTTGTGGTCTTGAGGTTTGGGTTGGGTGTGACATAAGGGGTCTAACTTGGGGAATCCCCTGCAGTGGTCCTCTTGGGTAACTTGTGGACTTACCAACTTAATTAGATTGAGGGCACAAATATTGCAGATGACTTGCAGAACATTTAATACACTTGTGCATGTACTGGTAAGAAGGTCTGTCACAATGACCCTTGAAGTTGAAATTATAGCACTTGTTGTAGGCTGGGCTGTTTAGTTTAATTTTTTATTTTAGATTGTGGGGATGATGATATTAACATCAGCCATAACTCATAGTCTACTTTAGACCAATCTATGGTGGGATCGATACTGCGGCGAAGTCGGAACTGCTTGCATATTTCTTACATCCCAAATCCCCCTCCCCACATCTTGATAACCAGAGTCTTATGTCATGTACACATTTCAGCAAACCCTGACAAGATTCCGGATGGGCTGAAGTATAAATGTTAGCGTTAACTAAGAATGCATCTGTCCATTTACTGATATTTTGAATCTTATTGCTAAGTTTAACAACCTCTCTTTTGACCAACTCCCCCTTTTAATTATAATTTTTTGCAAATTCTGTTAGGGAAGTGTTATTAAACGACAAATTATTCTCCATGTATGCTGATCTAATGATTTAGACTTAAACGAGTAAAAGACATAGCTAGCCAATAGTGAATGAGTGCTATTTACTATTGATTCTCATAACCAATGCTTGTACCTAACCTGATTGAGATTCAATGGCCAAAGCAGGCACAGGTGCTGGGGGAGAGTTTGACATTCTGGAGTGGCACCAACTATATTCTCCTGGGCGGTGATGCTTCCTGAAAGACCTGGTTCCTGTACTGTAGGATTATCGTCAACTGCTACCGCTGGTCGCTTTTGCCTTGACCTTTTTGATCTTGATGCTTTCCCCTGGCCTCGTTGTCACTCAGTCTGCGTTCCTCTTATTATTTTTGGTAGGCATTGCCGCAAGTAAATAACAAACAAAAAATTACTAACTGTAATTCACTATAGACACATTTTTAAGGTTGAATTTGCTACGGGCAAAATTAGTAACAATATATTCAAAATGGCAGTCGTGTCACGTTTATGTGATTTAATCGGGCTGTAAATCTAGCACAATCCAGAGAAAATATGTACGCTGGATTAAAATAACTTTAAGAACATACAAACTTTATTATCCATTTACCAAAATCTAACTATATTTAAGACCGATGCAAAAAATTTCTTACAAATATTATGAAAAAACTTGACAAAGAAATATTCAACCTACTCTGTATCCAGCAAGTTGATGAAAAGAATGTTGATCACTTATATATACCCAAGGCCGCAGGCCGATCCCGACCAAAAATTAATACCTTTCCCGTAAAATAAAGTCATCTGATTTTATATGCATAAAATAGATGATATTAATTACCACTGTTATCATATTGATAGCAGCATTCAGAATTTTATTATAAATACACAAAACATAAAAGAAGCTAATTGACGGATTTTCCATTATTTCTCGATCAATACAAGGAGCACACGGCAGGTGTAACCGGTCGGCAGGGGAGCTTTACTCCTCTGAATGTCACCTTATCCCACATCTGATGATTGAGAAGTCCTTGTTGCTCTGCTCCAAAATTTGTATTTTTAATGGACTTTTGAGCTTGAATACTGATTGGTATCTCAATATATTTAATAAATTTTAAATATTCCTTAACAAAAAATATAGTTAATGATTATGCTTCCTGTCAGTTTGTCTCTATATAACCCATACCCTACTATTTTCGCATAGTGGTCTAAGGATTTATATAGCGTAAGCATACTATGCCGAAATAGTGCATGGCTTTCTTCACTGAATAAAATTCTTCATTGCACACGCCGGGATCGAACTCGCGACCATGAGGTTGCCAGTCCGATGCCTTATCGATTACGCCACAGAGATGATCACTGACTGAGATAATTTTATTAAATATATAAACTTAATTTATACAATTGACACAAGAAGGAGAAAATAGACAAATACTATTTGAAAAAAGTTAAGTCATTCTAAGGAACCTTAGATAAATGTGTAAAACAAAGTTTCAAACTTATTACATACAGTTCGTTAGATGAACTGATATCACGGGGTCATTAAAACGTTTTTTCATATAACGCTTGAATGAAGGATGTAAAAGAGAATTATCAATGAGAATCGACGTCTGCAAACAAACCAGTCTTACTAATAAAACAGAAAATAAAGATGAGTTGCTTCGGGACAGAAAATCCCGACATATTTAGAGAAAATACTAGCGACCAAAATAACTAAGCATCCAACCAATTTTAGCATGAAGAGTTTGGATGAGTTCTTGCAAGTGCGCTGTGTTAGCGCCGATATTTTCAGGAAAAAGTCAAATTGTCGCATAAATAATAACAACAGTCAGCATAATAATAACAATAGTGTTGCATTTTTGATGCCTAAATAGTAGGCAGGGTTTGACACATAGTGCACTTTCGTGCACCATGTGTCAAACCCTGCCTACTATTTAGGCATAGTAATGCATAATGCAACACTATTATATAAATACAGTTTACTCTAGCAAACTATAGTAAATCAAAGTTTCAAAATTATCACTATAGTAAATCAAAGTTTTCAAAGTTATCACTAGAGTGGCAAAGTTATCACTAATAGTAAATCAAAGTCTTCATAGTGTCAGTTTGATTACTGCTGTAAATCAAAGATTTCATAGTGATCACTATTAATAGTAAATCAAGGATTTTAAATCAAAGATTTCATAGTGATTACTATAATAAATCAAGGATTTTAAATCAAAGATTTCATACTGATCACTATTATATAGTAAATTTAAGATTTCATACTGATCACTATTATATAGTAAATTAAAGATTTCATAGTGATCACTAGAGTAAATCAAGGTAGTGAATCAAATATTTCATAGTAGTCACTATGGTAAATAAAGGGTAGTAAATCAAATATTTCATAGTAGACACTATCATGGTAAATCAAGGGTAGTAAATCAAAGATTTCATACAGTGTAGTGATCACTATTATAGTAAATCAAAGTGGCAACGATTAAAAATCAGCATATGGATCTTGAAGGTTTTTGACATGAATCCTCTAGAAGTCAAAAGTTTAACTTGTATTTCTACAGTATACAATTTTCTGTGATACATGTGGAGGATGTTAAATTTCACAACATTGTATGTATCATCCAGTTTGCAGATTATCTCAATTCACAAAAAGATGTTTATTGATGTTTTTTTTTATTTCAAATAATCCTATGCACTTTGCATGAAATTCATTTTTTGCAATCAATTTTATTTATAATTTTATTCTTTTTTTTAGAAAAAACATATAGTTTTTAAGACTTTTACAGGATAACATTTCTAAAATGAATGTTGTTCGGCTGTTATTTCAATTGAGCTTTTTTTATGTAAGCAAATAACAAAAATTAAGATTACTAAGTGTTGTACAAGACAAATGGAGTGACCACATAATTACAATGATATAAATTATATTTGAATGATATTTTTAAAGATTCAAACTTTTCATATATAGTGATTACTATAATAGTAAATAAAAGTTTTCAAAGAAATCAATATAGCAAATAAAAGATTTTCATAGTAATTACTGTAGTAAATCAAAGTTTTCATAGTGTAAAAGTTATCACTATCATGGTAAATCAAAGTTTTCATAGTTATCACTATAGTAAATCAAAGTTATCACTGAAGTCAACTATAGTGTTCTCAAAGGTATCACTATAGTTTACTATCATATTTTTGTTAGGGTTATCAGACTCCAATCTAAACTGTATAGAAAAAAGTGTTTTGTACCCATACAAAGTTTAAATAATTCCTCTAGATAAAATTCGTCTAAGTAAAACAATGCTGAAAAATACAGAAACTTATAAACACAAAAGAAGCTTATAAACGTTTAAAGAATATTGAAAAATAAGTGAAAAATTGGCTGTAAGATGAAAGATGTCGCATCCTAACATGCAGCAAAATTACAATGTTATGGAATGTTAAATATGCTTAAAAGATCATTGGCATGAAAACTGAAGCGAAAGATTTTTTTTTCAATTCTGAGTTTTCTTTCACAGTAATACCTTTTATTTTTTTTCCAAAATAGTCGTCACATTCATGAAAGTCCTCACAGCAAGTAACACATGTATTACCGGTCTTGTAGGGTAGGCTTTCCCCGTTAAATCCCCCCGGAAAACTGGCTCTAGTGTAGGACCCCCCCCCCCGGAAAACTGGCTTGAGAGCAGGATTTCCCTAGAGTCAATTTTCCGGGGGGAAATCACGTTTTTTGTAGGAATAGTTTTCAATTTTTAACGGTTTTCCGCAATGTTTTACTTTTGCCCTGATTGGAGATACCCCCCCCCCCCCCCAATTTTTAATTGCTCTGCTTATTTTTGAAATTTTGCATTTTGTTCCAAGTGTACCTTCTTAAAAATGATGACCAGAATAATGGTATTTTTAATTTTTAATTAGATTACACTTGCCGGTAGGGGACAAATATTCCTATGCAATACTCTCAGAATGCTTGTTATACATTACAACTTAAGTCCTATTTAAATAAGTAAAATGAACAATTTTAATCGCACAAGTTTCAATTTTTCATTAAAAGTTTCACAAAAATGGGATTTAAGGAGATTTAATATGACAAAAATTGTATAAATTACAAAGGATGATTACAGAAATCATAATCAGAAATGATTACTGTAATCATTTACAGCCAAAATAATCAAAAAATATATACCAATCCAGATATCCAGTTTTTGTTTGTTTCACCAAATTTTGAGAATATTTACATTTCTTTTGAAAGCTATACTTTTGGTTCAGATTCCATGAGTTGAAATATAATATGCTTAGAAAATTCTTACAATATAAGATGAAAAAACGCTCATTTTCCTTTTAAAATTCACTTTTTCGTTTATCTTTTTTTTAACAAAAACGTTGCGGCTATATATTGACTTTATAACGAGGGGGGAAATATTACTCTGAGTAAGAAAGAGGGGGAAATTTGGCTCTGGTGTGAGATTTCCCCTCGGGGGAAATCCTACTTTAAGATTTCCGGGGGGAAAGCTGGCTATGGGGGAAATCCTATACTCTACAACACCGGTATTAACATTGACTTGGCCAATATTAGATCAAAATATACATGTACTATCTGAACCCTTTATACCACTTGATTTAAATTCGAAAAAAGAACTTAAACATCTAAAAACATATTTGGAGAATACGTAGATAAATAAAATAGGACGGTCAAAAAAGTCACTGACTTCAGTCTATTAAATGCGAAGTCACTACATTTTAAGCGATAATGATTCCTAAAAAAAATTTCAAAGCACGATGCACACAGTATAAATAAGCCGGATACATCTTAAAAGATATATACTTCGACATAGTCTGCTGAGTGATGGTTGCAAGCCGATCAGAGGGTGGATATGGGTGGATAGTGGTTGTATCCGTGTTTTTCATCTACGTCATCCATGTAGGGATACAAGGGATAACTGGAATAATCCACACTGAACTGGTCAAGTCGACGTCTGCTGACCTGGCGGTGATTGGATGGATCGGTTCTTTGATGATCGGACTCTGTACTCTCTCAGGTAGTGTGACAACACGAACTTGGAAAAGAGTTCTCTGAGCTCGATCAAAACAACCAGGCTGGTTGAAGGCTGGATCATCAGGTTTGAAGAAAATATTTATTTAAAGGACGAATTGAAACTTGGATAGCTTTGTCCAACCGTAATTGACGACGGGTGAAAATATAAAAGCAATGTCATAAGTATAAGTGGAACAAAGGTGTCTGTCACCCTTTGTCTAAAATATATATTCTTACAAGGAAACAAGAGAGACTGGGAAAACACCGTGTGACAAAAAAATCTCCGTTCATTATGTTTTTTTAATCAACACCAAACGAGAAAACTGAAAATATGCTAGGCTAGTAAATATATGTGCGGACAAAGCCACCATCCATTTAAAGAAAATTCATGCTTTTGATTATCTTTCTTCCAGCACCACTTGTATCTATCCTTACGCAGTTGGTGTCCTGTAGAATACTGGTTATCATCGGAAATCTATTAATCAGTTTGGGGTTCTTGTGCGCAGCGTTTACTTCGTCAATTCCGGTATTGATTGTGTGTCTCGGAGTTCTTACTGGTATGTTCTTATTGCTTAATTTCTGTTTTAACGTAAGAAAAGGAAAACAGGTAACTGCAAAACAGTTTCAACATAACATAACTGAATCTATGTAGGTTTTAAGCAATTTGATTTGTAGGATTTGGTATGAATTTAGCTGAATTCTCTTCCACGATCGTACTCAAAGGATATTTTGTTCAGAAGTTTCCTCTTGCTATGGGAATTTGCCTTTCTGGTTGTGGTGTCGGTATGATAGCGTTCCCGCCATTTTTTGTTTACCTGCACGCAATCTTTGGAATGAAGGGAGCCTTTCTTCTGTGCTCGGCCATTTCCTTAAATTGCGTCGCAATTTCCTTTCTACTCAGACCTAGCACATTTCATTTGCAAAGTAAGTTTTAAGATTCATGGCTTCAGAGACATCTACCCTCAAAACTGGTAGGGAATTATTCAAATTCATGTTCAACTGAAAGTAATTCGTAAAACCACTTTTGGATATTATCTAAAATACTGAATAACGAGGTTAAATTTTGCCTTGGTAAGGCTTATGAAAATGTATTCTTTTATCTTTAGTTTCTATATTATACTTAAAATGTTCTTCCACAGAAAAGTCATCGGAAAAGAAATGTTCCATAACTGATCTGTTTGACTTTAACCTTTTCAAATCGCATAACTTTGTTTTGTTCGTGACTGCACACCTTTTATTCAACATTGGTTACGCCGTTCCTTTCACTTACTTGCCATTCAAAGGGGAGGAGGAGGGCTTTTCCGAACAGTCATCTGCTCTTTTCATAACATCCCTTGGAGCCGGAAGTTCAATAGCAAGAATAACATTTGGATGGTTCTCGGCGAGGTTTCCACGTGTTCGTACCAGAGCATATCTTGGTGCTGTTTTCATGGCTACTCTGTCCACGCTTCCAGTTGCTCTATCATCGTCTTATCCATTAATATTGGTCTGTTCGGTGGTGCTTGGTGCAAGCTCAGGTAATGCAAGGGACATTACTTTTGATACAATCCATTACGTAATATAAATATGTGTAAGGGATTCATAATTTTGTAATTTTCTTATAAGGTAAAGATGATTTTTTTTTTCAGTGCCACCGAGGAAAAAACGTCGGATAAATTTAATAATAATCACCGTTCGGTACCTAGAATGATAATTCCGTTTCTTTTCTAGCCTAAAGGATGACAGTTTAATTAAACTGACATAAAGCAGAGTGGAATCTCATGTACCTGTCTTACATGAGTTAATAGGTTATCAATCAATGCGTGAGTAGCCACTTATATGCTAACTATACAATTCTATGAATACTATATTTATCTTGTATTACAGTCCTCCTTTGAAGCATCCGGGCCGAGTAAGTTGGGTGTTTCGTTTCTTTTGTTTCATTAGTTTTTAAATATGCTTATCTTCTTTTTTCAATAGGAATCACCCACACAGAGATCCCTACGTTACTTGTGGGAATGTTGGGAGTGGATCGGTTGCCTAGTAGTTTATCTATAGCCGCTCTTCAACAAGGAATCGGAGCCTTAATTGGAATCCCAATAACAGGTATTTCCATTTTATCATTGAAGGTTTTTATTGTCAGAATACCTTAACGGGCGTCACGTTGTTAACTCCTTCCTTCACGAATAGCTGATTTTATATGCTCTGTTCCAGCTTTATTATTAATTATATTAAGTTACATACGGGAAGTAAATATATTGTATGAAGATTTTCCTCATGTATGTTATGATACATGGATTATTCCTCTTGAACAAGAACATGTTGAATAGTTTCCTGTTTAAGGAGAATTATCCATGTAATTCTTACTAAACTAATTTTAACAATTCAAAATGATGTCACTTCAGTTATGCATAACAATTCTTGCTCATTCATCCTTTTTCAAATCATTATATTCTGTTAACTGCATTAATTTTACAGAAATGATATGTCGAACTGCTGGGAACAACAACATTGCATTTTTCTTCACCTCAGGTGTTTATGGAGTTGCTCTCGTTCTTATTGCTCTATCCTTCTACTTACCTGAGAGAGATTTATCCAGCTCATCTGTACAAACAGCAACGCAGAAGTTTGATCCGAAAATGGATGTTCCTAACCCGGAAGTCTTTGTGGTCGAATTACTGGAACCGGAAGTCACCGGTCCCGCAGCAGCTTAAAGAGAATGAGACATTCACAAGCATTTTTTGAATCCAATAATCATCTATATTATTTTCATTTATAAATTATATCATTGTCTTCAACCGTAACACTGACATATTTTAGAAATTTATGCACTTAAAATTAAATTCATTAAGAAATTTTTTTGTTTTTTGTTTTTCAAAAGTAGTCTGACTAAAAGCTAAGAATGACATGTCTTTGCACGAATACTTTAGGCAATATAGGAAACGAAATGGAATACCACTTATTCTTCTTCGATATAGATTGATCATGTTTTATTAATTGAATTATATATTTATATTTATCAAGGCATGTGAATTGAGTTAAATATACATGTACTTTTATGTATTTACACTTTTCCCATCGGAAACAAAATCATTGTTTACTTCTTCAACAACGAAATAATACCCTATGAACCGTATTTCCTTTACCTAAGAAATTTTGTCACCGCGAATTATTGGAGTTATTTTTTAATTATAACTATTTATTTCCCAGGTGATTTTTTTTACAACGACCACACAAATAATGTATGGAAATTTTAAAGCCCACAATGTACCAATGTGAGTGTGATGGGTCTTTTAAGAAAGCATGGTCATGGACATCGATCATACAGTAAACCATATACATTGTATATACATGTAATAATGTCTCTTTTGATTCAATTTTGTCTTAGGCACCTTTGCACTAAACATTATTCGGTTTCCTTGGATTTTAATGGACTTTTAAGAGGCTTAAGATGTATTTAGGTAGATTTTTAAATTAAAGAATATAAGGTAGATTATGTGATTATGGATATTGCCTCCATTGCTATTACAGAGACAAAACATAACAGAAAAACCGAAAAAATTAACAAAAGTAAAATTTGGGATTCAGAGAATTACGGATAATAAAACTTTAAAAATCATTTTATTGAGAAAAATATGTAAAAAAAAAAAAAAAAAAAAAAAAAAAAAAAAGAAAGAAAGAAAATGTGTTTGCCCAACAAGAAAATATTGCTTCACGTCATTATTATACGCATGCACAGAAAATTTGAAGTTAACATTGGGTTAATTTCATTGATATGAATGTCAGAAAACCTACGATTTCGTTAAGTTCTTCAATAAAGACTATAATCATAACTCATTTTTCACCTTTCCTTCTGTGTTCTTGACATTGATATGAAACATTAAAAATATTTAAAAATATTCTTTATTTGAAATAATTAAGTTCAGTCTTGCCCTTCACCATATTACAAGTTTAAGTTTACACTGCATTTTGACAGACTGATAATTTCAAACTCTTTTCAAATATATACAGACCTTCAGGGCCTAGATATTGAACAATTAAAACAAAGTTCTTTAAATGTTCTTGCTCTTCTTCTTTCAACTAAATTCCCACTGGAAATGTCAATACTGTTGATGATAATATAGTCGATAAAGAAGATATTTATTCTATCATAATTGGAAAAGGTCCTAAATACAGGAAACCCCGATCTGTCATGAAATCTGTCGAAAATTATGCTAAACGTCTGGTTAAATATGAAAAGAAGGACCTAAACTTGTCAGAATGGAAGTGAAGTGTTTTAGAAATACTGGTATTAGAAAATTAAAAGACCAACTATGAACCTACTTCCGTTTCCACTATATCGGAAATGAATGTACTAAAAGAGATTCGGAAAGTGAACAATAATTATGTTATTATTCCAGCAGATAAGCCATATCATTATACTAACAGTAACTGTATTTTTGAAGAATTTGTTTTAATATCATTATGATATCTTTGAAAATTCAACAGATTCTAACAGTTCACTTTCCAAGGATGAAATTCTTCCAAAAACATATTTCAGTGTTTAATACATTATATACCAGTCAAATAAATTTGATCTGTCCTACCTGTACTAGATTCCAAATGCTTACAAAGATACAGTATACATTGCTGGGTTCGGGAAATGCTCTACAAAGTCTTTATCATTACTTCTTACATTAAAATTAACTGCTCCAAGGGGAAACTTCAGACGTACGGCAGTTAGGCATATTCTACTGCTAGTAATGGTGTACATCTGATGTGAATCCTAAAAAAAACGCCAAATAACTTTTAAAATTCAAAGTCACCAAATTTTTTGAAAATTCTTTAACATCAAATTTTAATTGAGACTTCTTGGTTTCACAAACAACTGCTTCTTCTAAAAAATCCGATTCGGAACTCAAAATTTTTCTTATCTTGATATTGTTCACCAGAAAATTTATTTCGCTCAAAACTACTTATTGTACAACTGCCTTAAAACATCCTTTCTTTTCTTTTATCTACTTACATATATAACATGGTTTCAGGTAAAAACTATTAATGCCTGAACTCCTATTCCGTAACTATCAGACTCTTCTAGGTAACTTTTGGACATGTAAATGACAATGTTTTAAGTAAGATATATGCCTCATAAAATTCTATATGTAAATTTATCAGAAATTTGGGGCCCATTAGGGCCTCAAACATATTGATAATTTTACATATAGAACAGTATTCGACATATATCCATTACTTACGAAAGTGTAGCTAGGAAGTGGGGTCATTGTAAACAGAAAATTAAAGTTTTGTTACGTTCCAGTTTTTACCACTAAATAATATATTTAGTAGATAAAAACGTACTTTAATCACTCTAGAATACTATATTTCAGTAAGTATTTTTCATAACAATTAATATTGTTTTTTGCAGTAAATTATCAAAATTTCCTTTTAGTAAATTCACAGAAAATAAACAGAAGCTTTTTGGAAGCTTTACTGGACGAATGTGCTTGCAAAGAAGACAAGAAAGCAGCAGTGTAAATCGAACGCTTTTGCAACGCTTTGATATGTAGCTTTCTCTGTCTAAAGTTTCTCAAGCAGAGAGCAACAGTCCTACTCTACAAGATCGGTACAGATTTTCCTAGTTTCTTTTTTATTATTAGGTCACAACACCTGAGTAAACTGAGGTGAGTTAACATTTGAACATTTTCAGCTTCTTCTTTGCAACCGTTCAACCAATTTCAACCAATTTTGACACAAAGCATCTGTGGGTGAAGGGTAACAAAAATTATGAATGTCATGGTCCCTGTCCCCCTGGGGTCTGGGGGTGGGGTCAAAACCACTAAAAATTAATGCAATCTTTAAGGTTTCGTCAAAGGTCAACATGCTCAAAAATTTATTTTTACAATAGCCCCAAAACTATATGAAGTATAAAGTTAAAACTTTTACAGTTTATCAATTTTTCATTGATTAAAAGATAGAAAGTATCACTTGATAAAAAAAGTACTTGGAAAAATATTGATTGAGATAAACTCTTCTTAAAAATGCATATATTTTCAAAAAATACACCTAATTAATTCTGTGCTCTTAGTGAAAACCATCATTGCAGAAACAAAATAATTATGTTTATCAATGAAGGGCAAGTTGGACTTGGATAGTCTCTAGAAAGTTGTTTTCCCTGTTTATGTTGTCCAAATGTTAAGACTTGAAAGTGAAAGTACATTGCAAATGGCGGATTCTATAGGGGTCTTGTCTTTATTCATGTCATGCTTTCAAAAACAGCCTTTCAAAGACCATTCACGTCCAACTTGCCCTTCAATGCAATGATGATTTTTACAAAAAGGACAGAATAAAACAAATGCATTTTTTTAAGATATGCACATTTTCTGATACAATTTTTTTCCAAAAAAATCTTTTTTAAAACATTTGCTATCGAGTGATACTTTCTAGCTATTAATCAATGATATATTTATAAACTGTAAACATTTTGACTTTATGCCACACATAGTTTTGGAGCTATTGTAAAAATAATTTCTTAGACATGTTGACCTTTGACGAAACCTTAAATATCTTCTTCTATACTCCTGGACATCAAGCAGGCAAACTGTTGGCATGATTGTAATCAGCATTGAGCCCTCTACCAAAATTGTGAAATTCATGCCCCAGGGTTAGGGGTTCTAGTGCTAGGGCGGGGCTAAATATATTATATAGTGAAAATGCATTATTTCTTTGAAAATCTTCTTTTCTACTCCTGGGCATTGAATAAATTAACCAAGTGCACAAAAGTAGTGAATTTTATGGCCCCTGGGTCAGGGGTTCTGGTGTTAGGGCGGGGCTCTATTGGTTATATAGTGAAAATACATTAAATCTTTGAAAATCTTCTTCTATGCTCCTGGGTATTAAAGTAACATACTAAGTACATAGTTATAATGAGCGAGAATGCCTCTTCCAAAATTTTGAATTCTATGGCCACTGGGTCAGGGGTTCTAGTGGTAGGGCGGGGCTGTATTGATTATATAGTGAAAATGCATTCTTTTAAAATTCTTCTCTGCTCCTGGGTATTAAATAAGCTAACCAAGTACATGATTATGTTGAATAAGGCTGCCTCTTTCAATATTGCGAATTTCATGGCCCCAGGGTCAGCGGTTCTGGTGTTAGGGTGGGGCTCTATTGATTATATAGTAAAAATGCATAAATTCTTAAAATCTTCTCTGCATGCTCCTGGGTATTAATCTAATGAACTATGTACATGTACATAGTTGTTATGCGGAAGGATGCTTCTTCCCAATTTGTGAATTTCATGGCCCCTGAATCAGGGGTTCTCTAGTTAGGGCGGGGCTCTAATGATTATATTATGAAAATGCATTAATTCTTTGGAAATTCTTTTCCTTTGCTCCTGGGTAATATGTCAATGATCTAGGTACATATTTATGATGAAGAAAGGTACCTCTTTCAAAATGGTCCATTTCAGGGCCCTTAAGTTAGGGGTACTGTAGGGGGGGAGGGGTTCATTGTCTGAAAATAAAGTAATGCTTTGAAATCTGCTCTTTGGTTTTAATCAACTATTTATGAGGAAATAAAATTTAAAACATATCATATAATAAAATTTCCAAAATTTTGAAATATGTGGCCCCAGGGTCAGTGGTTCCTGTAGGTTGGGATGCACAACTTGTGGTTATAAAGTTGAAATGCATTTTCTCTTCGTTATTCTGATCTACCTCTGGGTATTAAGTAAGCAAAGTAAGCATGCTAAGTGTATAGTTCTGATAAGTAATGGTGCCTCTTTCAAAATTGTGAATTTCATGACTTTTGATTTAATTAAAACACAAACCAAATTCAATTGTTGGAAAGTTGGTACATGATACTCAAGTGACCTATGAGGCCCGTGGGCATCTTGTTTCATTTTCTGAAAGATTTACATATTATGTATCATTCAGTAAGAACTGTCGAATACGTCCTTGAAATTAAAGTTCTATAAATGCAATTGCACTCCTTTTAAATGATTATTATTACCCAAAAAAAATTAAACATATTCACGGCACGATGTAAAAAGTATAAATAAGAAGGATGCTTTTTAAAAAATTGAATTAATCGTCTCTGCTGAATGATGGAACCAGAAGCATATATTTGAAAAGGTATACATCGTCTGCTGAGGTATGGTGGTGGAGCCAAGCCGAGTAGAAGGAGGATATGGGTGGATAGTGGTAGTATCTATGTTTTTCATCTACGTGATCCATGCAGGGATACAAGGAACAGCTGGAATAATCCACACTGAACTGGTAAAGTCGACGTCTGCTGACCTGGCGGTGATTGGATGGATTGGTTCTTTGATGGTCGGACTCTGTACTCTCTCAGGTAGTGTGACAACAAAAACTTCGCCAGGATAAGGCTGAAAAATTCACTACCATTTTTTTTGAAATTGCAAAAAATTTATATTTCAAATGAGCATAAACTTGTAACAAAGTTTTGTTTGAACTTTGATATTGATTATCGTGAATTTTCATGGTCTTTTCATTATTGCTTCTTGTCTTTTTTATCTTGAGACATTGCTTTGACTACTGCATTGTCACTGTCTTTATATATAAAATTTGCAATTCATTCTTTGATTCAATACATGGTATTTAAAGCACATTGGGTTTTTTTCTTTTAAAATGTCTTCCATATGTCACATTTTGAAATCAGTATTTCTCAGGATGGTATAAATTTTGAAAACTTTTGTATCCCTTAAAAGCTTACGATCGATGAAGAAAGACAAATGAGAAAAACAATAAGTGGAATTAAGATCACTCATTACCATATAATAATTTCGTTTTACCATTTTTTTTATTTCGGGGTTTTAAAACTTGTATTTGTTCCAGCACCGTTTGTGTCCGTTCTGACCCAACTGATGTCCTGTAGAATTCTGAGTATAATCGGGAATCTGCTCATCAGTATGGGGTTCTTCTGCGCAGCCTTTACTGCTTCCGTTCCGGTGTTGATTTTTTGTCTCGGAGTTCTTCCGGGTATGTTCTTTAAGCGGATCTATCTTTAAATGATAAATATATTTAACTATAAGACGTTCTACAATCTATGTCCAACATAAAAATGAAAAAAATGTGTGTGAGTTTCATTTTTTTTTTCTTTCATAAACGCAGTTCTTTTTTGCAGGAATCGGCATGAATTTATCACAGTTCTCATCAATTATCATACTCAAAGGATATTTTGTGCAGAAGTTTCCTCTTGCTATGGGGATTTGTCTGTCTGGTGCTGGTGTCGGTATAATAGGATTCCCGCCATTTTTTGTTTACCTGCACGCCACCTTTGGAATTAAAGGAGCCTTCCTTTTCTGTTCAGCCATTTCTTTGCATTCTGTCGTATTTTCTTGCCTTTCCAGACCAAGCAAATTTCATTCTCGAGGTAAATGTTTATATTCGATATTCAATATACTTACTCTGGGTCTTGAGTCTTTAAAAGCCAGTCTCCGTTTATTAAAACTTCATAGATTACTAGTATTCAAAATCATAGTTAAGTACATTAAATATAAGTTGGCTCACTATGAGTACAAGCTTTCAAAAAATGAATTGCACCAGTTTTTAAGAGTGTATTTGATTACATAATACTAAATAATTTTATTAATATAATTTACCAAATGTAACATAATGGAATTCATTCAAAAGGTTTTAATGAAATTATCATGCGTTAACATTTATCTTTTTAGAAAACTCCTCGGAGAAGAGATTATCATTTGCAGAACTCTTTGACTTCAGGCTTTTCAAATCGCAGAACTTTGTGTTGTTCGTGACTGCACACCTTTTATTCAACATTGGTTACGCCGTTCCTTTCACATACCTGCCAATCAAAGGAGAGGAGGAGGGCTTTTCCGAACAGTCGTCTGCTCTCTTTATAACGTCACTTGGAGCTGGGAGTTCAATAGCAAGAATAACATTCGGATGGTTCTCAGCGAGGTTTCCACTTGTTCGTACCCGAGCATATCTTGTAGCCGTTTTTATGACTTCTCTGTCCACACTTCCAATAGCGCTTTTCTCCTCCTATCCATTAATATTGGTCTGTTCAGCGATAATTGGTGCGGGTTCAGGTAAATTGCAGATTTTAATTACCACACACTACTTCCCATGACATCTTTAAATTTATATCTTAATAACATGTATAATCATTTCGTTGATTGCCAATCTATGAAACCAAAAAAAAAAAATTTAACTTTTCAAGAACATACAGTGCCTGTTTGCTTTAGATAGTTTAAGATTTTTTGTTAATTGATATTTTTTTGTTATTGCAGCTGAATCAAAAAGACAGGTTTATGAACAGCTACATATAGTAAACAAGGGCCTAAACTAATGATGCAGTTAATTTTCTTTTCTAGCCTATTAAGGAATGCCCAGATTAATTTAAACTGGTTTATAGCAGAGTGGATATACATGTACCTGAGTAACATGAGTTTATAATTAATGACTGAATACGTGAGTAGCCATTTGTTTTACGCCCAACATAAGAAGCCCATGTTTATTTCATATTACAGTCTTCCATGGAGCCCTTCTGCCTAAGTAAATTGCAATTGGGTATTTCGTTTTGTTGATTTAAAATGGTCGACTTCAACATATGCCTATCTTCTTTTTTCAATAGGAATCACCCACACAGAGATTCCTACGTTACTTATGGGAATGTTGGGAGTGGATAGGCTACCTAGTAGTTTATCTATAGCAGCTCTTCAGCAAGGGATTGGGTCTTTAGTAGGAATCCCAATCACAGGTAATACCGATTAAGAATAGACAAAAATCTAGATTTAGGATAAATATATGAATATTTTCATTCAAAATCTCATGTTATTTAGATGCGGAACATAAAATGTATTAAGATTTTTTTCATTTACAATTTTTAACTTTTAAATTAACAATGAATAGTAAAAAATCGTGATGAAATTAGCTTTAAAAAAATTAGTACTTCCTAGTAGCAACCATTGGATTAACACTATTTCAAACTATAAAACATAGAGATAACAAGAAGTAATTAAGTTCCTACCTCCATTAAAACAATATTATCGGGAGCAGAGTAAACAGGTACCACGTCAACATCAGACATAGGATCAATTGCCAAACAGGTACCTCGTCAACATCAGAGATAGGATCAATTGCCATGGAAGAGTAAGCATCATACATTTAAAATGCCTCGGTGTTTGAGATTGACAAGACGCCGTCAGTTTGATAGTACCACAACATCATGAGAATCTTTCACCGTGAAATTTAAAGACTGCAAGCGTGCAACACATGGTTATTTTTTCGGATTTAGTTATTTCAACACGGTGAAATGAAAAAAATTGAAGATAACGCACAGTGCTCGATCTTAAAAAGACTACAAGCAATAAAATCTATGCAAGGACCACCAGAAATTCCGGAGATGAGATCAGGTGCCATGAATGAGTTAGCGGTCCCTTTTTCGACCGGTCACACTAGTTATGAGACCTTTACATTCTAGCAATTGCATGCTTTAAGCCGTTTTATGCAAGTGTTTTGTGAAAACGTCTTTCAAATGTGAGCACATATAGGTGTATGCATTAAACCCCACGTCACAACTTTTACATTGGTCTTTTGTAACCGTTGGCTTTTTGTCATTCGGAACGGAAAATTACAACGCACATTAATACATGTATTATTAAAAAAAATTGTCTACATTATCAATTTTTCAGTCCATTTAAATACCGTTCATTTTCTTTATAGAGATAATTTGTAGAACTGCTGGAAACAACGATATTGCATTTTTCTTCTCCTCTGGTGTCCATGCAGTCACCTTTCTATGCATGCTCCTGTCTTTCTACTTACCCGACAGAGGATTACAAAACTTACCCGTACAAACAACAAAATCAGACGGGAAAATTATTGGCGAATCCAAACCGGATGTCTTTGTTGTTGGTTTGTCGAATCCTGACATTAAGGGTCCGGCGGCAGCTTAATGTCATTATATTTTGGATAATTATGCATTTGTATTGATAAATCATTTTAAAATGTGTTTTAATGCGTTCATAATTTACATTATTAAAAATATGAAGATAACAAACAGAAACCAAGCCAAAGAGCTCAAATGTTCAGAAAGATAAAAATTTGGATCAGAGCATAAGCAGACCTCTTAAACATTTAAAGATTGCCTTGGAAACATCCCCTTTAAAACGGTCAATCTTGAATAGTGCTCCTTGTCATGATCATTCAAGCAGAAAATCCAAACACAATTCAGTTTAAGAACAATGATCAGATAATTTGAATGAAGAATCCAGCCATTAATAGACAAATAGATGTATTGTTTGGTATCATTTGAGAAATGTTAACTAAATGGTCTGTTAATAGCCTTGAAACATCATCTAATTTGTCAATAGCTTTCCCTCTTTTAGAAATTGTACGTAAAGCATGCTCTTCAGTATCAAACCAGGTTGATGACGATGAAGACAGACAGAGAATATTCAAGCATTAGAATGTTTTTTATTTTTTCTATATTTTTTACTATTTTCAAAGTAAACTTGCCCTTTAAAGTACTTTTTTTGTATTATAATGTGTTAATATCAATGAATATTTGACAGTAAATATGTGATGATAAAATTTGAAGCCAAATATGGCTATATACAGACATTATCATGTGTACTTAGTGTGTTGTTTGTGAATTACTAAATTTTGACCTGCTCCTAGACCCGATTTTTCCTGTTTTTAATTCTAGATAATTTGGAAATATATCATGAATATAAAAATTTTAAATGCAAATCATTTGAATTTATTGTTAAAATAGTTATACCAAATCTGGTTTACATATGACGTATCATAAATAAAAATATGACAGGAGTCAACAATCTTTTCGAACAACCCTCTTAAAATCATATTTTAATTAGCTTTTAAAAGTTTCCAATCGGAGGACGAATTTGAGCCAACATGTGTAAGTCAGCATTACACAAATTCTATAGTCTGTCGATACAACGACCTTCTCAGCAAATACAATCTATCGTAAGGTCTAATGTTGACTCAAATTCTTCATAAAAATTGTTCTGACAAAATTTTCACACTAATTCGTTTGTGATCTTTTTGCCATGTGTCCCACAAGGATCACATGGTGGATGTGACATAGATATATACAGAAAGCGCAGAATATTAGAATATTGGCTAAAATTAAGAAAAAATAATAATTGTATTTTGAGTGTATGTTATCAAGATATGATAGAGAATAAAGATCTCTGGATTATGAGTATAAAAAATGAAATGTACACTCTAGGTTTAGCTGACTTGTTTCATAGCAATCAAAAAGATATTTTATTAGACATAACATACAATTGAATGTGTGATGTTTCTAAACAGAAGGCTATATCTGATATATGTAAATCACCAAAATGTATGTTATATAAGCATTTAGTTGATTATTTTTGTTTACAGGGTTATTTAAAGAAACCCATCATGTAAAATATAGAAATAAAGCAATTTCATGTCTCAGACTTTCAGCACATAATTTAAATATTGAAAGTGGAAGATAAGAGAACTTAATAAGGATTGATAGGAAATGTGATCTGTGTAATTTGAATTATATTGAAGATGAATTTCATTTTTTATTCATTTGTCTAGTTTTTCACGATTTAAGAAACAAGTTCATCAAACATTACTACTCTCGAAGACCTGGGGCCCGTTTCACTAAAAGGCGTACGCCCGGCGTAACCTTACGCCTGTCGTAAGTCCGGACTTAAGTCAAATATTTGGACTGAGGTCCGTTTCACTTAAAGGCGTAACTTTGCGCCCGCCTTAAGTTAAGACAAAAATCTACGCCTAGCCAAGGGTAGTCGTAACTTATGGCGTAAACAGGAATGGACTGCTAATTCTGTTGCTGAGGGTATTGGGGCTGACCGTAATTTTAAATTGTACAATTTGTCATGTAAATTTTATTAATTTCATATGAGTTTTGTTAGGTGGTACCAATTCTCGAATAGAAACTTTCTTACCATGCATACAGTATATGTTTTGCCGTATATGCACTTGCCGTTTACATGTTAAAATGCCATATTTAGATACTCGATATATAGTTTTCATTCGATTATTTTTATCCAATAATTTGATTTACGTTTCATATTCTAATAAATTGGGCAATGAATAATGCAGAATATATACATACATGACGCGAATACAATGGTATATTTGCATAAGAAATGTCTAGCATTTCAGGCATTCCATCCCCCCCCCCTCCCCAACTTCCGCGCAAGATATGTGTGAGCGGAATATTTTGAAATTTAAATATCACTTAATGAATTATTGACTTTATATTTTCCTCTTTTTTATTTCATTTTTTGGTGAGTAAAAGGTGTTAGCTTAGGTAGTTAAGCTAAGGTTAATCACAAAAGTAACATCAGTATTGTTAAAATGTAAATACCAAAATACAATGTATGATGAAAGCTCTAACTATGTTTAAGAGTCGTCAAAAGTCCGTAATTTTTTTAAATATAAGATAATGCATTTATCATACAATCGATTCAAAACACTGACTCCAGATTAAATAGATTTTATTTTACCTACTCTTTATTAACTTTAAATTTATATGAAGCCTCGTTCAGTATACTAAATACACATGTAAATGTACTTTGCGAAAGCCGTAAAGTATTCAGGCATGTGATAATTTTTGTGAAACATTTACAAATAAACGTGCATGCACTTATGTACCCTGTCACTTAACGAGGCCGGGTCTAATTCGAGTGCGCATCACTTTGCGCAGCTTTTAATTTCACACAGTCATTTGTGTGACAGTACAGCTTTGAAAATTATTTTAATTTTTATACAAAATTAACATTATTTGCAACTCCTACTGATCTGAAAATGTGATTTTACGACAATTATTGGAAAAAGAACTTTGAAATGGCTCCAACAACGTCACCATTTTCGGATTTTGTAATCAATGTATGACGCTGAAGAATGACGCAGGACTCGCTTGTATGATCAAGACGTTCATGGATATATTATACTAAAAACTGATGACATAACTTCCCAAGAAACATACTAGCAATCTGAAAATTGATTTTTTATGCCGAAAAAAAATTGTATGCACCGATAATTCATCAGCAAAGATATGTATTTAGAGCGTAATACATGTATGGGAATTTTAGAGGTATTTGGCTTCTAAAAAATAAACTTAGTAATTACTTTCTAGACCAATCGAGATGGTGAACTTTTTTTGATATTTCACAATTTGGTGACTTTTTACATTTACTTTCATTTACTTGAATGAAAAAGAAATCCCTAGGGCAGAAGTATGAACAAATTGGAAAAAATGCAATAATTTGGCGATTTTCCAACAAATTCCCATAGGGTCCAAGAGTAAAGTTTGACAACATTTAATATGGCCCACTTAGAAATCGGGTTGGTAAACATTCGATTTTTTAATCCTAAAACAATTAATATAACAGTAAAAATTAATTATCAAAAAATTATCAAAATCCCTAGGGCAGAAATAATTAGACTCGGCCTCGTTAAATAATTTGAAAAAAAAACTAACTTCGGAAACAAATTGTTTAAAAAAATTAGACTTGGAATTCATCAATTATTTCCTAGGTCATTTTTGCTCCACATTTTACATTGACACAAATCTTAATATGAAGGTAATAGATATATTTATCCGAGCCTCTTCTTTTTTTTCGGGTTTTTTTGTTTTTGTTTTTTTCATGAAATATTAAAATTCGTTATTTTAAGGTAGGTCCGTACTTTTAAGATTTTCTGTCAAACTGATCATTTTTTAACTTGAATACCTTAAATAACTCAAGAACTAACTAAAACACCCATAAAAGTCATATCTTTGCAGGTTAATTTTCATACAACATGTCTCAGAGTACATACCTCTCAAAATTCAACAGCCAAAATTAAACCTAAAGAATTGTGATATCATATCTTATTTAGCTATGTACCAAATCAAATCAAATATATATTAAAACTTGTGGAAACAAAAAATATTCATTTGCCAGGAGAATATTTGAAAACTTTCCTGGGAAACATAAACAAATTGATGCTGAATCTGGTCATGTCTTTAAGAATAAATCTCAAAATATCTTTATTTTTAATAATTTCTCAAAATTAAGATTGTTTATATGCCATTTTTTCTTTAAAATTAGTAAAAATTATATCTAAGGTTAACAAAAACACAAACTTTATTATGATTGTCCAGATAAATTCAACAAAACAGCCCTTTGAACACATATACCCTCATTTTTGGAATATCAAATTTTCAATCATTTTTTGCAAAATTTTAAAAAGAAAGTTAAATTTAGAAAGATGATACAGGCCTAAAATCTACAAGAATAGATCTCAAGTTAGCTTGTTAAAAAAATAAAAAGAAAGCTTTAGGTTCATAAAGGAAATTAAGAATATTATGTCTGTGCATGTGCTAAAACATATTAATCCTACGGACATAGTACACAGTGGACATTTCCATAAACAGTATATATTTAATGCTTTGTTTGCAAATTGACATTATAATTAATATATATATATACTAACTAAATTATTTTCAAGCACCCAAACTATTTTATTTCAATAAAAAAGTAATAATCAGAATTTTATATCGATGTGTAAAATAAAAAGCGGATCCGTAAAAGTATGGACCTTCCTTAAGTATCTGGTTGTATGGTTGTTCGATGCTGGCTTAATATTGTCCAATCCATGGTTAAAAAGCTCATTACTGCATTAATTCGCTATTTTTTCTATTTTTAAACAAATTCACTGATTTTCTTTCAATGATATAGCAATAGGAAACCAGAAAATTTAATAAAAATAATATTTATACTCGGACCATAAGTGACGCATGATCAAAAGAGAATATCCAAGGGTGTTCGAAGCATGGTGAAATCACAGTAGATATCGATAACAAAAGAGTTCTGTTGAGTTAATAATTTTGAATGAACATATCCTATATGCTTCATAAAATATATCTTTCAAATAAAACATTTAAGCAAGTTTTGCTGTGTGATTTTGTCACATGCCTGAATACTTTACGGCTCTCACTCT